CTTAACGGGATTGGATATTTTTTTTCGGTTTCGATTGTGCGTTTTTCTAAAATAGTGCCGAATGTGTCAGTGGCTGTCAGATCGTACGACGCAATTTACTTTTTTGGCTTCTATCTTTTGAATTAGGCTTTTTGAATCGGATTTTTCCACTGATTCGCGTAGAGTGATTTATTCCTTAACGGGATTGGATATTTTTTTTCGGTTTCGATTGTGCGTTTTTCTAAAATAGTGCCGAATGTGTCAGTGGCTGTCAGATCGTACGACGCAATTTACATTTTTGGCTTCGATCTTTTGAATTAGGCTTTTTGAACCGGATTTTTTCACATATTCGCGTAGAGTGATTTTTTCCTTAACGGGATTGGATATTATTTTTCGGTTTCAAGCGTGCGTTTTCAAGAAATAGTGCTGAAAGTGTCAGTGGCTCTCAGATCGTGCTACGCAATTTACTTTTTTGGCTTCTATCTTTTGAACTAGGCTTTTTGAATCGGATTTTTCCACTGATTCGCGTAGAGTGATTTATTCCTTAACGGGATTGGATATTTTTTTTCGGTTTCGATTGTACGTTTTTCTAAAATAGTGCCGAATGTGTCAGTGGCTCTCAGTTCGTGCTGCGCAATTTACTTTTTTGGCTTCTATCTTTTGAATTAGGCTTTTTGAAACGGATTTTTTCACCGATTCGCGTAGAGTGATTTATTCCTTAACGGGATTGGATATTTTTTTTCGGTTTCGATTGTGCGTTTTTCTAAAATAGTGCCGAATGTGTCAGTGGCTGTCAGATCGTACGACGCAATTTACTTTTTTGGCTTCTATCTTTTGAATTAGGCTTTTTGAACCGGATTTTTCCACTGATTCGCGTAGAGTGATTTATTCCTTAACGGGATTGGATATTTTTTTTCGGTTTCAAGCGTGCGTTTTCGAGAAATAGTGCCGAAAGTGTCAGTGGCTCTCAGATCGTGCGACGCAATTTACTTTTTGGCATCTATCTTTTGAATTACGCTGTTTGAACCGGATTTTTCCACTGATTCGCGTAGAGTGATTTTTTCCTTAACGGGATTGGATGGTTTTTTTCGGTTTCGATCGTGCGTTTTCGAATAATAGTGCCGAATGTGTTAGTGGCTGCGAAGTCGTGCAGCGTAATAAACTTTTTTAGCTTGTATTTCCGAAATTAGTCTTTTGGATTTGGCTCTTTCTACGTAATATCAGCGTAGAGGTATTAGATACCAAGAATTACATTTTATAGCGAGAGAAAATTGAAGCAGAATACAAATATATAAGGAATGATATGTCTATTTGATTCTAGGTATTGTAGCCGTATGACATGCAAGATAGAAATCTTTGATGAGCACATAAATATTCAGAAAATAGAGATGGTGTTGGCAGACAGAATGGAATAAAATTAATTGTGGTGATTGCTTCTTACAACAACTCTATATAGAGAACACACTGAGATTGAATGGTATGTTGTATTCCTGATCTAAATAAATATTAATGTCTGTGGTCAAAGTCAATGATTATCGCTAATGTGTTAAGTTTCAGAATAATGGAGGTATATAAAGAAAAGAGAGAGGTTCGAATGAAAGCAGTGAGTAGAGGTAGCGCATATAATGTCGAGTCAAGAAACAAGAAGGAGGCAGCATAGGTATCAACAGAGAAGGATGTGTGACATCAACAAGCAAATATGAGGATCATTGAAGAGATGGAGAATGAACACTTGGTAACCTTTATAAAAGGTAAAGATAAATTGAATATAGAGTGTAAATGTTGCATTGAGGCACAAACGTGTAGAAATATCTATAGGAACTTGAAAACTATAAAAGCAGCATAAATAACAGGGCTGTGGCACATGGAATTCATTGAGCCAATAAAAACAAAGGTACGTCTTTCCTGCCCTCGATTATTTGAAAAAAGAACCATTTGTTTGATTGATTTATAAATGATTAAAGATTTAATATGAAATATTATTGACGGTGGATTTTTGTTATTACAGGAGGTTTACAAACATGAGTAATATTTATATGCAAGAGCCAGCCACTAAGGGTATAGTAATAAGTATTGGTTAATAATATTTCAATGGATTGTATATCTGTTTTTAAAAATTTAACCGATATACAATATTTACTCTTTAAATCTTTATATTAATATATTTAAGTAATTTATAATTTGAATTACAATAATAAGTAACAAATTTTAATAACTTTGATTTTATAGATATCTTATATTAATGAAACTAATATGTTTGTTAGAACTAGGTTATAATGAAGGCAACTGTTGGTGATATTGTGTTAGGATTATGGGCAAAAGAAACTCCGAAGGCATATAGAAATTTCATACAATTATGGAAGATTATTAGGATGACACTATATTTCATAGTATTATCAAAGGATTCATACCACAAGGTGGTGATCCCACAGGTTCAGGAGAAGGTGGTAAAATATATAGAGATCCATTTAAAATGAGAGTATATTTAAAAATAAAATGATCAATTGGAAATGATAAAATTGGAAAATTAACGAATTATGCAATTTCTGCGATTAATTTATGAACTTTTATAGCTGTATCGTATAGCTGGCTCCTTGCGCAATATTCTTATGCAATTTTTGCACATAATTTGACGCTAATTAGTTTGTTATTATTACTTGACGACGTATGGCGCGATGGTCCGAAAAAATAATTAATTATGAACAAAATTAGAAGTAAAGTAAGAACAAAAATGATGAATGTTCTCAAGGATATTGTTTTTATAATGTGTGCATGTAATTTATAAATTAATTGCATAGAAGATTGTAATTAGCGAAAAACCAATAGTATTATTGACATGAGTTCGAAGACTCTGAGTATTAGTTACAGCTAACTATACTATTACACGTAAATTATAAAACTTATGGTTATTAACAAATTATTAATGTTAATAACAAATTGTTCACAACGTAAATTTATAATAAAAGTAGACAAATTAATAAATTACTGGTTATTACTTGAACTTATAAAGTATACATGTTGAAATGTAGTTATCATTCACAGAAAGTTTATAAATTATTGCACTGATTGTTAATAACAAATTGATATTGTTATTAACCAATTATTCGCAACGTATATTTATAGTAAGAGTGAAAAAGTTAATAAATTATTGCCTATGAAAGCAGAAAATTAATAATTAATAAAATCGGTGAAGATTGAAAATTTCCGATCGAGGTGGGGGATTCGGCTGATCGACGGCTATATAAGAGACGACGCGACAGGGCAGAAGTCATTTGTCGGTCCGACTTCGGAAGTGTAATATATGAAGTTTCATAGTTCGCGAGGGGTGGGGGTCCGAAGTGAGGTTGGTGATGGCTACCCCACCCTCACCCCACCCCATTAAATAGTTTACGAATAATTTTTCTTTTATTTTCAGATATTAATTATTTTTTTGTTTCAGCTTTTAATTATTCTTTCTTTTTTCAGGTTTTAATTACTTTTTCACTTTCCAGCTTTTATTTTCTGTTTCTACTTATTTTCATTCGAGTATTTCGTATAATATTCGAATGTTTCGTCGTTGGTTTGTTTCTGTCTCATCGATGGGTTGCTCGTTCCACTTGGTTAATTTTCATGGTTTTTATTCCTTCGTTTTCTTTCCTCGTACTAATTCATTTCCTTTCACAGGTTAATACTAGCAATAAGGTATTCTGTTTTAGCTTTTAAATTTCTCAAGATTCTAAAGTTTCTTCAAGACTTTATTTGGTACGCATCAATGGACGCGGGATGCGTGAGTTTAGACCTAAGTAGACCTAAGTAGTCATAAGATAGATTCCTAGACTAAGTCTCATGTGCGCGATATCTGTACAAAGGTAAGCTATCTAACTTGGAGCGAATATTATATTTTTACTCGCATTTTCCCTCTCGTTACCAAATAGAACATAATTGTTCTCGCGATAATCGCGATCGTTCTCAAGTACCGACTAGCCTACGCGACGTGCTCTCGTGTACTCGATAAGTACATGCTTCGTGAGTCATCCTCACGACTCGTGTCCGACACTCATTTCCAGCCACTGTCAATCTCGTCATGCATCGTGTTCCAGGGTGGCCTTCGGGTCACTTTCTTCTTGACTTGATGCGGGGGTCCAGCTGCCCCGGTCTTACGCGACTGGGGTTCGGGTATGCAGTTGGACGGACATAGTGTCTACGGTTAGACCACAGGGATGATTAAGTTCTACCTCGTGTGGCTGGAATGCGAAGTGTCTGTCTGACATGCAAGGCCCCGCTGGACCCTCGTAACGACTCTGGAAGTTTCATTGGTTCGGGGACTATTCTTGGTCCACGTGTAAGTCATGGCGAGTACAGCAGTGGCTGGATATGGGATAGGCCCGATTGGGAGGGTGCCGAGGCATGAAGTTATCTCTGTGCACGTGAGCACGTCTCGTTGAATGTAATACATTTACGTTCAATACTTATTATTAACAATTTAACTAGTTTTGGCTCGTTTTTCTATCTTCACGCATTTTTATAGTACAGAAATGTACATTCTACAGGTCATCCAGGTTAAGTGAGAAAAATGCATGTATTTCTTCTGTTTGATGGCTATTGCAACTTTAATACTGATCTCTTTTGCAGAAACTAGTGAAATGTGAACATTCAAAGTTGATATGTTGCTGGCATCATTATTATTCCTCAATGGTCAGATCATTTTTTCCATGCTTAATGCCAAAGGTTTATCATTAATATGTCGAAAACGGAAACCTTTTCATTTTGATATTGACGTCTGTGACAAAATGTTACAGAAAAATTAAGTTTCGATATGTTCATACTGGTCTCTTTTTCTGTTTTGCCAGAGATAATCCTATAATGCTGATTTTAAATTTGTATATGTCTCTCAGATACACTGTGATACTGATTCTGGGAGTTAAATGTAAAATCATGGATTGATAAATGAAGCAAAAAGCATATACTCCAATTTTGATATATTTCTCTAATTGAAATTTACATATATTTTTGTTTAATTTGATTAACATGTAAAAGCCCTTTAATATTAACAATAGTAATTTTGCGATAATTATGTAAATATTAATTTTTTAAAAGCGTACATAGTTTATATGCTAAGAAATCATAATGGATAGGAAGTTTAAGGTTGACAGCGTTCCAAAAAACGTGGGTAAAGACATACATCACGTATATGGTATCTGTTTAGGAGCCAACATAGAAATCTTTCAACACCTAGTCCGTATCCACCATGAGGACAAGTTCCATATTTTCGCTAAAATAAATTCATAAAGATAGCGACAGAATTTGTGTAAAACAATAGTGTCAAAAGTACCATAATAGTATCAAATCTCTATGTACCTGATCAATATACCAATAATATGGTTTTGGATCAATATTTACGTGGGAATAATTTTCCAACAGCTCTTCATAATTCCAAATACGCATGGAACCTCCAATTATTTCACCGACATTCGGTAGCAGTACATCCACTGATTCTGTAAGACGCTTATCATCCGCACAACGTTGCATATAAAATGATTTAATTTCTGCAGGAAATCTACATAACATTATCGGTTCATTTATTGCATCAGTCATTTTTCTTTCCGGCATTTCTGGAATGTCCTATGAATTAAAAAAGACATTAAATTATTAATTTTGACATTACTTTTTCTTTAAAATATTTTCTTTTTTATCTTCTCTTTTTAATTTTTGTTTTCTTTGTTTAAAATATAAAGAAGCAACACTTTGTAATGAAACAGTAATCAAGCAAGTTTGTTAAACATACTTCACCAAATTCGTAAAATGTTCCATCATCTTTTGTTATATTGTTAACTCGAAGAAACTCGATCGCATCTTTATAATCCATTCTTTTAAATGGCTTTTTTGGTACTTTAAAATGAGGATTCAATTCTTTAACAAGATAACCAAGAGGTGAATTAAGGACACGATCAACAACATCACATATTAGATCTTCTAATCGATCTAGCAATTCATCGAATGTAATAAATGGACATTCCGCTTCCAAATGTGTATACCTAAAAATCAAAAATTTTACATAGATTTACGTGTACCATTTGTTTTCTTTAATGTATATATTAATAAAAATATCGTTAAGAATTGAGAAAAGCACAAAATTTGTGACATTTACTCTGCAAGATGTCTTCGAGTCCTAGATTGTTCTGCTCTATAAGACTGTGCGATACAATATACATCACCCATTGACGGAATGCAAGTTTCTAAATAAAGCTGTGAGCTTTGAGTTAAAAATGCTTCTTCCCTAAAATGAAAAATTAAATTGTTAAATTATAATTGAATTAAATCAGTAGAACAATCCTACTTTAAGGGATAAGTGTAAATTTAAGTATGTGATGCATTTACCCAAAGTAATCTAATTTAAATAACGTCGAGCCACCTTCTACCTGTGTTTGCACTAATGTTGGTGGTGTTATTTCACAATAACCTCTTTCACTGAAATGAGCTCTAAATGCCTGCATCAACGTGGACCTCATAATTAATATTCGAGATGTCTAAAACAAATGATTTGTTACATTATTATTTTACATGTAATCTTCATTTTCTTTTGTATTCCCTCATATAATTCTAATTAAAATTACTCATGATCCATATTACCCTTGATATTTATAAAATAGATGCTTGATCGTGTAAAAATTAACATTTTCTGTATTTTTAATAGATAGCTTATTATAATAATTATCTTACATTTTCACCACGAATCATAATATGTCTGTTATCTAACTGCACATCGGGAAGTGCTTGTTCGTTTAAAATAGAATCTGCACCACCAGGAGGAGATGCTCCTATTAATGTCCAATAATCAACATGTAATTCGTGCCCATTTGGAGCCTGAAAATGAGAATAATCTGAAAATTTTTTGACACAGTCTTAAGTTTTGCTTAAATTTAAAACTACATCTATTATCATACACTTTTTCCCTCTGGCACAACTTTAAGACTTCCAAATACTTCAATAGAAGCTTCCGTGGATAAAGTCAATGCATTGTACGTTTGACATAAGGTATCACTAAGTACACATTGTAGAAAACCTGTTCCATCTCTCAATGTTATGAACATAAGTGCTCGTCCTATGAAAATATTAAATAGTAAAGTAAAATTATTATGCCCAAAGTAAATATGATTCAAAATATAGGCTTCAGAATATTATACCTTGACGCCTAAGTCTATGCACCCAACCAAAGAGTTTTACTCGTTGATCCCGATGATCAACACTTTCTCTAATTTTTATACGAACTGCAGGTGGCAATGTATTGTCTTCTTGAATTGTAATTGCTTTAGCCTCTTCTAAATTTTTCAATCTCTTTTCTTCATCCTCAAATAACTTCTTTTTCTTGTCTTCATCTTTATATCGTTCTTTCAACCAAATTTTCTGCATTTTCTTTAATTGTGATTTTGATACTAATTCATACTTTTTGCCAACTTCGTGAGAATCTTGATAAATTGGTGGAAATGGTTCTTGTCCTACATAATGCATTACTCTTAAAATTGTCTTAAAAGGATTAGACTCAGAACCATCACCTGTCACATCGTTTCCATCCTTTTGAGAAGTATACATTGCACCTGAAGTAAAAATATAAAATGTCTATATTCTTCTGTAGAAAGATAATAATGTAAGTCTTTTATTTTCAAGATATAAAAATATATAACTTTACCCAATAACGATTCAGCAGACTCGGCGGTGGGCATGTTATTTGTTAATCGTAACTACTTATATCTTTTCGTTTATAATTCTATCGATTTATTAATTATATTATCAGTGTATCTTAATTTATTAAGAACGTAAAACAAGTAATTACAAACTTCAACAGATTCAAATCTAAATGACGTAATTTCTTCTCTATCCCGATCACTACAATTACACTTACACACACGCACACACACAGAGGCACACATATATCTATGTCCAATAGAATGTTATGATTAGTCATTTAAAGGTTTAACATACATATATTACACCATAGAAATGCAACTATATAGAATTATAGGTGCAATTACTTAACACTCAGTAAAAATCATTAGTGCTAACATTAGATATACTATAATATATTGAATTGCATGAAAGTATGGATTTCCTAAATGGACACTGTAAATAATTACAAGATGGTTGTCATGTAATATAACATCTTACACTAGTGATTCATACTTATGTAATAAACATAAAAGTGTGCAATAACTGTTATGTCTTATTAATAATATATTTTTAATTCTGTAAGATATATTCTTAAATATATTATAACAAAGAATATTACTGATTAAATAATTAAAGTTTGAAATAAATAAATTACTGAAAATACTAATCATTTCATTAGTTGAACTTCAGTTTGTTTCAATTTCACACGATTTAAAATTATTATGTTATTATCAGTAAAAACATGTACAAAATAAAGTGAATGTCTATTTAACAATAAGTAATAAGTAAACAAAATATATTTTATGCTATACGCATACATTTCTTTAATATTTATTTTTATATGTTAAAATCACTTTAATATAAAGTCTTTTATGTTAAAATCGCTTTTGTAGTAGAATGATATTTTTCATTTGTATTTAAGAAAAAAAAGATAATATTGAAAGATTTAAATAATTATTAGCAGATATGTAATTTGAAAGATAGATTCTGAATTTATATTATCTCATATTTACTTCTTGTGATTCGCTAGGTTGCGCAGCGTGATGATCACATTTATGCATACCAACCTTCTAGCCAATATGGTTGAGTATCATTTTGAAGCTGAAAGAAGTGAGAAGTTGATTCGATTGTAAACGTTTAATACTGAGAATGCATAGTTGCAGCTTTTAAAAATTAATCTCTTAAATGATGGCTGGGTTGGAAAGTTATGAAAGTGTATACCGCAGGAATGTCGTTAGATCTCAGGAATCTGAAAGTAATTTTCTACATACTTACCATGGACAAGATGTTATTCGCCCTTCCGACGTTGTTATGCATCCTCTAGGCGAAGACAATCCTCCTTCTGAGGCAGGTCAGTGTTAATAAAATAAAAATATCTATATATAAAAAAATCTTGAAATCTAAAAGATTTTATTATTGTCTTAAACAAAGGAATTGTAATATTAAATTGTTGGCAAATGTTGAAAGTGAATAATGTTTTGTATTTCAGATTTCAATCTAAAGTATAAGTATAAGTATATGATTGCGGGTTGTGGATTAGCAGCCTTGATTACAGAAACCTTGTTACTTCATCCTCTTATTGTTCTAAGGAGGCAATGTCAAGTAAATCCTGGGTTGAGCAAATATCACATAATTCCGATCACATTGGTACCTGTAGTTATACGTCTGCATCAAACTCAGGGAATAAATACATTATGGAAAGGAATTGGATCAGTGCTGCTTGTAAAAGGGATGATGTTAGCAATTGAAGACTTCATTTCTAAAATAACACCATGGCCAAAGTAAAGTGATCTTTATATAACAATGAATTCTTATTTTCTTTATCCCAAACAGAATAATACTGGATACACAATATTAACAACAATGAAATGTTCATTAATTTTAGGGAAATAACATGCAATAGTTCACTGAGAGCATTTGGGCAACATCTCCTTCTTAAATGGTATTAAAATATATTAATATATGACACATTCTTCTTGCTATAAGTTTATAGAAAAGATTGATAGAAAATGTGACAGTGTTTCCATAGGTCTAGTAACACCATTTTACTCTGCATCGTTAGTAGAAACAGTACAATCTGAAATTACGTCTGATAGTCCTGGAATATTGGATGTTTTCCGAGATGGTGCAATTCGCTTAGTTGAAGTGAACAGTAAAGGCAGATTAATTCCCATTTATTCTCTTCTGCCATCGACCATATCTTATGGAGTATCTAAATATCTTTTTACTCTAGCTGTTCAAGGAGTTACCAGCCGCATTATGCATATTAGGCAAAAACAATCTCAGGAGTTAAGGGTAAGTCTTGTTAATTGATAAATTAGGTGCCTACTCATTTGTATTTATTGAACTATTCATATTGATTGATATTTATATATTGTATCAAGGGTGCATATAGCAGAAACCTGTTGTCAGAAACAGTTGCACAAGATATAGAGTTACAGTCATCATTAATTTCCGCGTTTATGGCAGAAGTATTGTTTTATCCTTGGGAAACAGTGCTTCACAGACTTCATCTTCAGGGCACACGAACTATTATTGACAATTTGGATACAGGGCGTAGTGTAACACCAATACTCACTGGATATAGCAGTGCAAGTGACTGTTACAGTACAATCATATCCACCGAAGGTCCGCTTGGTTTATATAAAGGATTTGGTGCTCTTATTTTGGAATTTACCTTAAATGTTGCAATAGTGCGAATTGCTAAATGGATTTTGATAGAAGTACAAACGATGTTACAACCGAAACCAAAATCAAGACAAAATCCGCCAAATTGGTATTATGAAGAAATCTAAAAGAGCATTAACATTTGGTTAGTAATATCTTTTGTGTGTACTACTTAATCATAGTATGTACTATCTAAGCACAGATCACTATGCTTATATAAATATAAAATTACTACATTATGTTAATTATTTTCTTTTTTGTTATTGTCAAATCATATCTATGACTTGATGTTTTTAACAATAACTAGAGTATTTTTATCTCTTTTAATTTATTATAGAATAGAGATGAGTGACCATTCTAATAAAAGAATTTTAGAACTGTATTATTGTTATTATAATAGCATACATAAAGAAAGTACAATCTATCATTTGATATTTTGTTTAAGATAATTTAAAATCCTTAAATTGTAGAAACTGTAAAGATGCAAGTTACGAAACTATGCTACCTATAGAGAAAATTACAGTTATCTGTTACTTTTAACTCAGTATAGTGGAAAAATAAGCGTGTTAGTACTCTTTAAACTAATATCACACAATGTTTACTTTTGACATTTGTCTACAGTTCTTTTTAACTTGCATCATATATTACACAGCCTTTCATTTATAGCTAGTTTTCATGTACATGAAATAAAATGAAACAATTGGTGAGAAAATATTTCTCACTAATTATTGCTTAATAATTATCTTCAGAAATTATATGCAACTTTTAAAATCTTAATTTGTTTTTCCCACTTCTTCTAATATATTATTAAAGTTTATGGTCTATATATTAATGTGTTAATCATTTTCAATTTTAAAACTTAGATATATTTTGTTCAATATGATTTAACGTTTTATGGAAAAACTTTGTTTCTCTAAATCTGTGTTCAAGATATTCCAACTATGCAGAAATAATCTCAAAGTTTATTTCGTACACTAAATCTATTTCATAGATTTTTTCGATTCCTATAAAATATGTAATGGATTTGTACTAGTTTCGTGTAACCTTCATTGTATAGTTATAATTATTTTTCATATTTTAATAACTTTAGTGTAATGTAAACCATTTACATCTGTATATTACACAATATTGTACAATACCCATACATTGACAGAAGGTACTAATTTGGTTTTCTATATGTCATAGTAGCATATAAAACAAACGCATAAATATTACAGCTGTAAGATGCAAAAATATTCTGTTCAATTTATTTTTGCATAATGGTCCAAGCGTTTCGTTTTTGACTTGAACGGCTTGAAACCCTAACAATTAGGATAAAATTTTCATTCGTTTTACAGGTGATAATCCGTATGTACACGCACTGATTTGATAGTAGGATGATGTATTCGCGCATTACATGTACAGACATGGTTTAACAAATGTATTTACAAACACTTCAATAATAGACTTTTTGATATTGTTATGAACTGTTTGAATGTAATATATATGATTGATTCAATTTATCTGCATCAGAAATAAGTTAATATAAAATAATCACAATTGCAAAGATTTCCAGTGTTATGTGCATTTAGTCCTTTTTGCATTATAATATACCTGTGTAGTGTAACCTTGTTTTTTTGAAAAACATAGATTACAAGGAATATATATTATTTACAAATTTATATCGGGCCGAAAACTATTACCGCAAAATATAATTTCGAGAATGATTTTCTCAAGAAATCAATCAAATATGCGGCGTATCTTTAGTACGAATTATTTGTTAATTCTGTATATGCTGAGCATGTAATTCTTCTTCGGTAACATCACCTCTTCTGATATACTGCGGTTTCTCTTGTCCTCGTACACATCCTTCGGTAACGTGGACGGACATAACATCACTACCTGGTACTTCAAACATAGGTTCCAAAAGTAATGATTCCATGATAGCTCGAAGGCCTCTTGCACCTGTTTTCTTTTCCATAGCTAATGACGCTATCGCGCTTAGAGCCTCCGTAGTAAACGTTAATTCTACCTATAAATATATATACAAGCGACTTTATTATCTCATCCTACGTGTACATGCATTGGATACATCTAATTATTGAAATGATTTAATTCATACTTTGTCCATTGAAAATAACATTTGATATTGAGGCACCATAGCATTTTGAGGCTCCGTCAGTATTCTAACGAGCATATCTCTGTCAAGGGTGTGAAATGGTACTAAAACTGGAAATCTGCCAACAAATTCGGGAATCATACCAAAATCAATTAAATCTCTTGCTTCAACCTGCTGTAGTAGTAAATCTTTTTCTTTGTTGTCCTTTTCTGTAGAAGGTGACATATTTGCAACATCTGCTAAATTTGCAGCACGCCTTCCTGGACTTTCAGAAGATGGTGATGCACCAAATCCAAGATATTTTTCAGTTTTACGTCGCAAAATCAATCTATCTAATCCATTGTAAGCACCAGAAGCAACAAATAAAATATTTGTAGTATCGATTTGCAATGTATCTCCGCGTAATTTTCTAGAACTATTTCTTTCAGGTACGTTCACAATCGTACCCTCTAACATTTTTAACATTCCCTGCTGGACACCTTCCCCACCAACGTCTCGCAGTTGATGTATACCAGGAACAGCGCCAATTTTATCAACTTCGTCTAAAAATACAATACCCATTTGTGCTCTGTCCACTATGTAATTAGCATCTTGAAGTAATTTCGCGATAACACTTTCTATATCTTCACCAACGTATCCTGCTTGTGTCAGTGTTGTACAATCACAAATTGCAAATGGTACATCCAAACATTGAGCTATTGTTTGTGCAAGCAATGTTTTTCCACTACCAGTTGGGCCAAGTAACAAAATATTACTTTTTTCTAATTTCAACTGATGCTGCTTACTATCCAGAATATCAGATCCAGAGACTGATTGACTATCAGTCGATTTATGTTCATTTCCTGTAGGATACTGTTGAAATCCGACACCAAGTGAATTTCCAATCGTTGAAATATGTAATAAGTCTATAACAAAAAATCAATATTATTGATTGAAATTTGTACATATACAAATAACTTTGTGATTGGCTACAAACATAAAATTATTAATGACAATTTATAATAATTTGTTATAAAAGATTCTATATTTGATATACAATCCATTTAGGGATAAATATTATTTAATTGTCACCAATCAAATGTTATTATTTAATGTTATGTAAGATTATGTACAAATTGGGGAAGCTATTATTTACGTGGTTTAAGACCTCTATGAGTGAAGGGATGATTCAAATCTTGTGTACCACTTGCATTAATAGAACCTGGCATTGAATTTTGCACTGGAAAATTATTATAGATTCGTTTGTAGTGATTATAAACAGCAACGCTCAAAACTTTTTTTGCATATTCTTGACCTACAACATGTTTGTTTAGGTACTCAAAAATCTGAAAATACCGATACATATTAATACCTGTCATAATTTTATTGTACAATTATGTACAAAGGTCTTTTGTGATTTATAATAAAAATGTTAGTCTACAATGTTCTCATATGAAACTATTACCTTCTTTGGTGGTGGTGGTGGTTTTCTATAAAATCCTTGTTTCGTATCATCTGGCCTTAAAGCTTCTTTAAGGCTCCTCTTTGAATCTACCTCTGATAGAACAACGAAAAAGTGATGGCATTTCTCACATTTAACAAACCTTGTTGATGCTGACAAAAGATGGTGTTCTTATAAATAATTCTTGGCTATTTTCCTATTTATTCTATACAGAAAAACTTTCAAGAATTATCTACTTACATACAAAAGTCTCTACATGTGTACAAGGGTCACCGCATTTTGGGCAAGTAAGCGTGCTCTTCTTGCCTCCACCGTTTCCAACAGAGGACACTCCACTACTAGAATCTTTACCAGGTGGAGTAGGTTCGGTGGGTGCTTTTCCCAAGCTACTACTAAATGTCAATGATCTAGTAATAGCTACTCTTACAACTTTGTGAACTAATACCAAAATAAACGATTAATTGCATTTGAGCTAAAATGAAAAATTAATAATATGTAATTATCGAATACCAATGTATTGTGTGCTTACCATGATTTGCTACATGATTAGAGACTGCAATGCGACCAGCACTGATTAAACAACAACGAACACAACTCATTTTTGTTTATTTCTTTTTCTCTTTGTGAAAAGCAAAGGAAAAGATTTTGCAGTGATTATTAGAGTCACTTGAGACAAAACCTAAATTATAGTAAAATATATTAAAGTGAGACATATTTTGTTATAAGAATTGTTATAAGATATTGTAATGTAACCTCTAATACAACCTGAGATATTGTTACATAGATAAATAGTATAATTTTGCTAGTATTAATTTGTATAATAATTTATAGAAATTATAAAATAAGATAAATAAATAGAAAAAAGGGGGGTATTAGAAAACGAAATAACTTGTAAATTGTTATAAGCATTAATGAAATTTTATTTTAAATAAAGTTTATGAAGTCCAAGAGTTACCCAAAAAAGACAGAATAAATTCAATGTTATTTTCATCGAGTAATGAAAACTAATAATCATTATACTGAAATTAAAATACCAAAAAGAAGCATTAGTATTACTAAGAGCTGATTTTTTTCGAACAATGAAACTATAACTGTAATGTATGCATCGGAAAGCAAAATACGAGTACACATGCACTATCATTGCAAAAATAAACATTGAAGTGGCAACTTGAAGTTAACGGAAGGTAATAAAATATCGAAAATACTAACCTGATAAATCAACGATAATGCACAAATCATTCGTTATTATTCATTATTTATTCATTCTTTCCATGAAATATGTTAGAAATTCAATGATTTAAAAATTCTTGTATAAATGATTTTATCATGAGTAGATCAAAGAAACAAACTAATCTAAAAACACAAGTATTTGACATATCGCATTACAAGGTGCAACAATCGCATGAAACATGATTCAAGGTCATTTGTTGATTTCCCTCCAAGACTTTCCGATACTACATTTGCTATTTTAAAATTCATTTACAAACAATGTTCAATTTACCTCCATAGCAATGAAATATCTAGAAACCACCAAAATGTTGAAGAATTATATGGTATGATCTTGTACACACGTACCTACATACGTGGCGGATATGTATGTGCGGTCAATCACGGTCAAGACAGACTCTCTCGTTGATGGCTGATATGCTGTTTTCAATAATTCAAATGGCTACAATTGCCTCATGTCAAATCACTCAATTTGGCCTTTAAATGGGATAGTTTTCATGCATTTACTATTTGATTTTGTAAGAGGAGTTTATCAACGTTCTGTACACGAGCACAAACTACACGCAATGACGTTTTTAAGAAATAACGAAACGTCAGGACATCTGTACGTATGGTCACTCGAGGGCGCTTGATGTGTGTACGTAAATATATCTATGCACATAGTAAGAAATATTTGAACGCGTGTCAATAATTACATTTCTATTTGCCTTGAAGTTGATTTTGATCAATTTCCCAAACAATTTCAATCGTCGATTTCAAAATCGTAAATTAGCTTATTGTTTTTTTTCATATCTCTTATCTTCTCTCTGTCACCTTCATCTCTCTTTCCCGCTCATTTTTGCCTTTGTTGAAAGTATATGATTTATCCTGTAATGCTACAAGGTTAGGTTATTACCGTATGAGAATATATTTTATAGATACGAGCATTGCTTAAAGAGGGACCTTGGATGATATTATTGGATTGTATATGCATTGTATTAAAAAAATTGGAAAATGTGCTAATGAATCGACGATGTTTTATTGGTGATATTGGTATGATAACATTGATATCATGAGAGAAACCGAAATAAATAACGAGGTATATTTTTAATATATTTTAAATTGTTATTTCGTGAATATATATTATGTGTATGATATTTTTTTATCATCAGTTGACAATTTTTCAGATTGTTTTATTAAGAAAATCTGTTCGTCAGGCTCGCACTTGTGTGGTAAGTAAATTGATCAGAGAAGCAAAAAGGTTACGCACTAGCCATGGTAAGGAAAAGCAACTGGAAAAAAATAAGAAAAAGGCAGATAAACTTCTAAGGGAGGTATTTGCATTAAAACATATAAAAGACGATGATATATCAAAATTTGGAATCGTTAAATTTGCCTGCCTGCAGGACATACTACAAAATTTGCATACTGACGATGGAACTCGGGCTATGGCAAAAATTGTTCGTTACAAGTCTTTAAGTTTGAAAATAATGAAATTTCAGGAGAAATTTCCAAATTATAAGGAATACATTTCTTGGAAGGCAAAGAAGTGTGCATCAAAACGAAAAGCAAGCAACATGAAAGACTTTCCAGAGGAACATTCAAAACTGTTGCGAAATGATATAAATAATATTGTAGTAGAAGTGTATAAAGAAGACTCAAAAAATATGAATGATAATGTTTCTATTGCTCCTATACCTTGCCAAAAAAGAAGAGTTAATGCAAAATGTGGTAAATTATTGGAAGAAAAGAAATTAAATGAAGAAGTTGAAGAAGATAAAGGAAATTCAAAGAAAATATCAAAACCTCGAGACATAACGACAAAATCCAAAAATGACGAAGATTCTAAGATAGTGACCAAAATCATTAGTAACGAGGCCACTGTTAAAAGATTAACAGAAGTTTTACAAGAAACAGGGGAACAGAATGATAGGGGAATAGAATGCAGAGAAGCTAAGAACCAACCTGTCTCCAACGGAACAACGAGGTCATTAAAAAAGATAGATGACTTCTTTCTACATGCAAATGAAGTAACTTCATGTTCCAACGTTACTCTGTTTGGTAAGAAGGAAAATATAAGCAATGATTATAACATAAATCATATATTTAAATCAAATAAAATAAGAAATAAAAGAGATAAATTGCAAAATGAAAAAGTAAATAATAAAAGAAAATATAGTAGAGAACAAAAAATGAATAACTCGTATAGTTCTCATGAACAAGGTGGTACAACAGAGAGAAGACATTGGAAACACAGTAAAAATGCTAAACGATTTAAAGAAAAGGAAAGTATTAATAATACAAGTGCAATAGAATATGAAAATCTACATCCTTCCTGGGTTGCAAAGAAGAAGCAGCAAGATATTATGAAACAGGGATTTCAAGGGAAAAAGATTAAGTTTGACGAGAATTGAGTAACAAATTTCCGTATTTGTATTGAATTTGTACATGAAATAAAGTAATAATATTATGTTAAATTTGATGGAACGAAGTATATATAATATATACGTAGATATTTGTGTACTTTTTATCTTTTTCATTTTAATGAAAATGAATATTGATTTAGTTGCTATGCTTTGTAATTGGAGCAAGAGTATCTCCAGTTTGATATTTTATACTGAACGTAACAAATTGAGATTGAATTTACAGTGAAATTAACTACACTGCAAATCTAATGCAACTAAGAATTAGACTAAATTATAAGTAATCAAAAGATATACATTTCACTTTCTTTTTTATTTAAATAATGTAGTTTGAAATCAGTATACAAAATGGATATTATATGTTACGGCGTTGGTTATATTGTAGTTGAAGTTACGTATCCTTAATTCCAACACATGTGCGTCCAGCGCTTGAACATGATTTTTACAATTTCTATGACTGGTATAACCGCCGCTACAGCGCGCGCGCGCGTGTGAGTGTGTGTGTGTGTTGCTCTTTCTCAGATAAAATTTTTTTTTTATCGATATTATGTTCGTTGTTAATCAATCAACATTTAAATCGTTTACATTATTATATTAATGAATGTCATAGCAGAATATCATTAATGGAAAAGAAGGTTTCAATCGATTCAATATCAAAATAGTTTAATAGTTTTTGAATTAAATCTCTATGTTTTTTATAATTTTGGATAACTATTTAAATCATACTATTTAGGTTTTGAATAATATTTCGCATACTATGTAGTTTCTTTGATATCAATAGCAAAAAAATATTTGATTGTAAAGAATTGAATTCTCGTACATGAATTTTTACACATAAATGAATATCGCATATGTCACTGTTAGATAAATTTAAAGGAAGAAAGAAAAATGAAAAATATACATATTAATTCTACTGTTGGTTTAATTTGGCATTCGACCAGTTGAGATGTCTTGCTATCGATTGTATAAATGTTTAAGAAACGAAGATGAACATTTTATGAGCTTCTCTTTCTTAATATTCTTTGTTAATAGTTGTTAAAACTATTAGATCACGTGTTCTCTTATTCGAAATTTAATCAGCAAAAACTACAACGTTAAGGACAAGACTAGTTTAACGTATTTTGCATGGTTGTCGGAAAATTTGGGAATAAAATGTGTTTAAAATTAAGAGAAACAGTATATGATTTGTACATTCATGTTCTTTTTTCGTTTAGTTCCGAGCATGATTTATTTTCAAATTTACAAGGAAGACCGCATAAAATAACGTTGTACAATCGTAAGACGTAATGTAAATCAATCAGTCAATCAGTTACTTTTCTGAATAGTTGATATCGATAGATCATTATAACGAGGGAAAATTGTGAAAATTTTAGAAATTAAACGAAATGTGAAGGAAATTTGAAGGAAATTTGAAGGAAGGAAGTATTTGTTAGTATGTTTCTTGTAACGAGTATCATCAGAGGTTACATTAAACTTTCCATTCAGACTGCTGATATATCCAATGTATGTAAAAGAAAATGCACCAAGAAGGTGTATACGGTTCGAATAGAAAGTCTTGCAAAAGAAGCACGTGATAAAGTGTTTGGTAATCCAAGGTTACTTATTCTTGGAAAGAGT